GAGCGACGGCGACCCGTACGTGCTGAGCTACAACGACCTCGGCGACCAGACGGGGGCCGCGCGCAAGGGCGTCAAGAAGACGCTGGAGGTCGACGTTGTGATCGGCGCAGACGGCGCTAACAGCCGGGTGGCCAAGGAGATCGAGGCCGGGGACTACGAGTACGCCATCGCTTTCCAGGAGCGCATGACCATCGACGAGAAGAAGATGGAGTACTACAAGGAGAGGGCCGAGATGTACGTCGGCGAGGACGTGTCCCCGGACTTCTACGCGTGGGTCTTCCCCAAGTACGACCACGTCGCCGTGGGCACGGGCACCGTCATCGACAAGAAGGGCATCCAGAAGTACCAGCAGGGCATCCGGGACCGCGCCGCTCCCCGCATCGAGGGGGGCGAGATCATCCGCGTGGAGGCCCACCCCATCCCGGAGCACCCCCGCCCGTGGCGAACGAAGGGGCGCTGCACCCTGATCGGCGACGCGGCGGGCTACGTGACCAAATGCTCCGGCGAGGGGATCTACTTCGCGGGCAAGAGCGGCTTCATGTGCGCCGAGGAGGTCGTCAGGGCCTCTGAGAATGGCACCCGCATGATCGACGAGAACGACTTGAAGGTCTACATCCGCAAGTTCGATGAGCAGTACGGCCCCACCTACATCGTGCTGGACGCGTTGCAGAAGGTCTTCTACACCTCCGACGCGGCCCGCGAGAGCTTCGTAGAGTTGTGCGAGGAGGAGTACGTGCAGAAGGTGACCTTCGACTCGTACCTGTACAAGACTGTGCAGGGCAACGACCCGATGGGCGACCTTAAGCTGGGCTGGAAGACGCTCACCAGCCTGTGGAACTACAACAAGAACCCCCCGCCCCCCATGAAGAAGCTCGAGGTGGCGTAGGCCGCCGCGCTCGTGTGATAGGCCTGCCGCTGCCGCTGCGCCCAGGCTCTCCCGGGTGGCGTAGACGTCGGGTGGCGCCGCGCGGCGGCGCCGCGCGCGGCACCGCGGCTCTGTGCGCGCGTGCGACCTGCGCGCTGCGATCTGCGCGCGCGCGGCACCGCGGCCGTGGTCTGGCACTCCCCAGTTGTTTCAATTATGCTGTGCGGTTTGTGCCGCTAGCATTTGCCATTCTTTTGTTGTGCGGCACGTCACGCTAACATTCGCTAGGCCCACGTGAGCGCCACCGGTGTTTCAGGGCGCGCGCTCTGCCAACAAAACACGCCAGATTGTTTTTTTGAAAAGGTGCACGTGGGGCGCTGAATTGCCAGGCTTGCCGGCACGACTAGTGTGATTACAAGTCCTGACTACACGTGCAACACGCCGGGGGCAGCGAGGGCACGTGCCCTTGCAACCGCTGGTTTTGAAGACACCCGGCAGAGCCCGCAGAAGACTATGCGTTTCAAGCTACCGTTTCCCCACGGTGCCATAGTTTGTTCTGCTTCTTTGTACCGTGTCTGCAGGATGGAACGCAATACGCCGTCCTGGATAGCGATCGTTCCCCAGGTGAGCCGTGAGCCGAGAGTCGCCGAGCTGCCAGTCCACGCTGCAAGCCCAATTTAGGGCACGCCAACCTCTTCCTCCTTCTTGTTCTCCTCCTCCTCCTCCTCCTCCTCCTCGGACTCCTCCTTCTACTCCTCCTCCTCCTCCCCCTCCTCCCCATCCTCCACCTCCTCCTCTTCCTCTTCCTCCTCCTCCTCCTCCTCCCAGTGGCTACCTCGCAGCTGCCAGCAATCATCTGTCGCGTGTCTGCTCCCTCGGTCCTGCTGTCTCACTTTGTAGGTTCCCGAGATCGAGAGTGGCCATCGACTGACACCTGATACGTCGTCTCCTCCCTCCTCCTCCTTCTGTTACTCCCCCTCCTCATCCTCTCTGGGTGCGTTTTGACGAGGCCTTCGAAAAGAAATCCAGCCCTAGCGACGAGGAGCTTCTTGGCGGCCTAAAACCAGCGAAAGCCGCACAGAAATCTCCTCCTCATCCGTAGCCACTTTGGCTCAAGGAATTTTGGCGCAACGGGATATCGAATCCAGCCGCAGCCGCAGCCATGGCAGCCTTCGCGGTGGCCGGGGCCGCCCAGCCCTTCACCGCAGGCAGCGCTCCCGCGGCGCAGCCGGCGCAGGCCCTCCGCGCGGCCTCGCTGCGCGGGTCGCCCGCGCCGGCCGCCGAGGCGTCGCCGTGGCTGCTCGCCACCGCGCCGCGGCGGGCGCCGCGGCCGTGGGCGCCGCGGCGGCCGCGGCGCCTCGCCGCCGCGCGCGCGCCGCGCCGCTGGCCGGAGCATCGCGGGCGCGCGTGACGCCCGTGGCGTCGCAGGGGCAGCAGCGCACTCTGCGGGGCGCGCGCGTGGTGGTCTGCGCGGGCGCCAAGCTCCCCGAGGGCCGCAAGCTGCGCGTGGCCGTCATCGGCGGCGGCCCAGGCGGCGCTTCGTGCGCGGTGACCGTTGCGATCGACATGGGTACGGGAAGAATGAGGACGAATACCGACAGCAGTTGCTGCTCATTTTGAACAGGACTCGCTGTCGGCGTCGCCGCGGACTTCTGTCCATTTGAAACGAAACGTCGCCTGCCCAACAGCGGCCGCTGCCGGTTGGGGATAGCATTGGCCGTTAGACATCGGAGCCAGTCTTTCCCGTACCTATCTCGGGTGTGCCAAGGTGAAGCTCGCCGAGGGTGGCGTGGAGACGTACCTCATCGAGCGCAAGTTGGACAACTGCAAGCCGTGCGGGGGCGCGATCCCGCTCTGCATGGTGGAGGAGTTCAACCTGCCGCCGCAGCTCGTCGACAGGCGCGTGCGCAAGATGACCATGATCTCGCCCTCCAACAGGGAGGTGCAGATTGGCCAGACGCTCAAGGACGACGAGTACATCGGCATGGTGCGCCGCGAGGTGCTGGACAAGCACCTGCGCGACACCGCGGCCGAGAAGGGCGCCACGGTCATCAACGGCCTCTTCATGGGCATGGACATGCCGCAGAGCGACGGCGACCCGTACGTGCTGAGCTACAACGACCTCGGCGACCAGACGGGGGCCGCGCGCAAGGGCGTCAAGAAGACGCTGGAGGTCGACGTTGTGATCGGCGCAGACGGCGCTAACAGCCGGGTGGCCAAGGAGATCGAGGCCGGGGACTACGAGTACGCCATCGCCTTCCAGGAGCGCATGACCATCGACGAGAAGAAGATGGAGTACTACAAGGAGAGGGCCGAGATGTACGTCGGCGAGGACGTGTCTCCAGACTTCTACGCGTGGGTCTTCCCCAAGTACGACCACGTCGCCGTGGGCACGGGCACCGTCATCGACAAGAAGGGCATCCAGAAGTACCAGCAGGGCATCCGGGACCGCGCCGCTCCCCGCATCGAGGGGGGCGAGATCATCCGCGTGGAGGCCCACCCCATCCCGGAGCACCCCCGCCCGTGGCGAACGAAGGGGCGTTGCACCCTGATTGGCGACGCGGCGGGCTACGTGACCAAATGCTCCGGCGAGGGGATCTACTTCGCGGGCAAGAGCGGCTTCATGTGCGCCGAGGAGGTCGTCAGGGCCTCTGAGAACGGCACCCGTATGATCGACGAGAACGACCTGAAGGTCTACATCCGCAAGTTCGATGAGCAGTACGGCCCCACCTACATCGTGCTGGACGCGTTGCAGAAGGTCTTCTACACCTCCGACGCGGCCCGCGAGAGCTTCGTAGAGTTGTGCGAGGAGGAGTACGTGCAGAAGGTCACCTTCGACTCGTACCTGTACAAGACCGTGCAGGGCAACAACCCGATGGGCGACCTCAAGCTGGGCTGGAAGACGCTCACCAGCCTGTGGAACTACAACAAGAACCCCCCGCCCCCCATGAAGAAGCTCGAGGTGGCGTAGGCCGCCGCGCTCGTGTGATAGGCCTGCCGCTGCCGCTGCGCCCAGGCTCTCCCGGGTGGCGTAGACGTCGGGCGGCGCCGCGCGGCGGCGCCGCGCGCGGCACCGCGGCTCTGTGCGCGCGTGCGACCTGCGCGCTGCGATCTGCGCGAGCGCGGCACCGCGGCCGTGGTCTGGCACTCCCCAGTTGTTTCAATTATGCTGTGCAGTTTGTGCCGCTAGCATTTGCCATTCTTCTGTTGTGCGGCACGTCACGCTAACATTCGCTAGGCCCACGTGAGCGCCACCGGTGTTTCAGGGCGCGCGCTCTGCCAACAAAACACGCCAGATTGTTTTTTTGAAAAGGTGCACGTGGGGCGCTGAATTGCCAGGCTTGCCGGCACGACTAGTGTGATTACAAGTCCTGACTACACGTGCAACACGCCGGGGGCAGCGAGGGCACGTGCCCTTGCAACCGCTGGTTTTGAAGACACCCGGCAGAGCCCGCAGAAGACTATGCGTTTCAAGCTACCGTTTCCCCACGGTGCCATAGTTTGTTCTGCTTCTTTGCACCGTGTCTGCAGGATGGAACGCAATACGCCGTCCTGGATAGCGATCGTTCCCCAGGTGAGCCGTGAGCCGAGAGTTGCCGAGCTGCCAGTCCACGCTGCAAGCCCAATTTAGGGCACGCCAACCTCTTCCTCCTTCTTGTTCTCCTCCTCCTCCTCCTCCTCTGACTCCTCCTTCTACTCCTCCTCCTCCTCCCCCTCCTCCCCATCCTCCTCCACCTCCTCCTCCTCCTCCTCTTCCTCCTCCTCCTCCTCCTCCTCCCAGTGGCTACCTCGCAGCTGCCAGCAATCATCTGTCGCGTGTCTGCTCCCTCGGTCTTGCTGTCTCACTTTGTAGGTTCCCGAGATCGAGAGTGGCCATCGACTGAGACCGGATACGTCGTCTCCTCCCTCCTCCTCCTCCTCCTCCTCCTCCTGTTACTCCCCCTCCTCCTCATCTTCTCTGGGTGCGTTTTGACGAGGCCTTCGAAAAGAAATCCAATCCAGCCCTAGCGACGAGGAGCTTCTTGGCGGCCCCAAACCAGCGAAAGCCGCACAGAAATCTCCTCCTCATCCGTAGCCACTTTGGCTCAAGGAATTTTGGCGCAACGGGATATCGAATCCAGCCGCAGCCGCAGCCATGGCAGCCTTCGCGGTGGCCGGGGCCGCCCAGCCCTTCACCGCATGCAGCGCTCCCGCGGCGCAGCCGGCGCAGGCCCTCCGCGCGGCCTCGCTGCGCGGGTCGCCCGCGCCGGCCGCCGAGGCGTCGCCGTGGCTGCTCGCCACCGCGGCGGCGGGCGCCGCGGCCGTGGGCGCCGCGGCGGCCGCGGCGCCTCGCCGCCGCGCGCGCGCCGCGCCGCTGGCCGGAGCATCGCGGGCGCGCGTGACGCCCGTGGCGTCGCAGGGGCAGCAGCGCACTCTGCGGGGCGCGCGCGTGGTGGTCTGCGCGGGCGCCAAGCTCCCCGAGGGCCGCAAGCTGCGCGTGGCCGTCATCGGCGGCGGCCCAGGCGGCGCTTCGTGCGCGGTGACCGTTGCGATCGAAATGGGTACGGGAAGAAAGAGGACGAATACCGACAGCACTTGCTGCTCATTTTGAACAGGACTCGCTGTCGGCGTCGCCGCGAACTTTGTCCATTTGAGACGAAAAGTCGCCTGCCCAACAGCGGCCGCTGCCGGTTGGGGATAGCATTGGCCGTTAGACATCGGAGCTAGTCTTTCCCGTAGCTATCTCGCGTGTGTCAAGGTGAAGCTCGCCGAGGGTGGCGTGGAGACGTACCTCATCGAGCGCAAGTTGGACAACTGCAAGCCGTGCGGGGGCGCGATCCCGCTCTGCATGGTGGAGGAGTTCAACCTGCCGCCGCAGCTCGTCGACAGGCGCGTGCGCAAGATGACCATGATCTCGCCCTCCAACAGGGAGGTGCAGATTGGCCAGACGCTCAAGGACGACGAGTACATCGGCATGGTGCGCCGCGAGGTGCTGGACAAGCACCTGCGCGACACCGCGGCCGAGAAGGGCGCCACGGTCATCAACGGCCTCTTCATGGGCATGGATATGCCGCAGAGCGACGGCGACCCGTACGTGCTGAGCTACAACGACCTCGGCGACCAGACGGGGGCCGCGCGCAAGGGCGTCAAGAAGACGCTGGAGGTCGACGTTGTGATCGGCGCAGACGGCGCTAACAGCCGGGTGGCCAAGGAGATCGAGGCCGGGGACTACGAGTACGCCATCGCCTTCCAGGAGCGCATGACCATCGACGAGAAGAAGATGGAGTACTACAAGGAAAGGGCCGAGATGTACGTCGGCGAGGACGTGTCTCCAGACTTCTACGCGTGGGTCTTCCCCAAGTACGACCACGTCGCCGTGGGCACGGGCACCGTCATCGACAAGAAGGGCATCCAGAAGTACCAGCAGGGCATCCGGGACCGCGCCGCTCCCCGCATCGAGGGGGGCGAGATCATCCGCGTGGAGGCCCACCCCATCCCGGAGCACCCCCGCCCGTGGCGAACGAAGGGGCGCTGCACCCTGATTGGCGACGCGGCGGGCTACGTGACCAAATGCTCCGGCGAGGGGATCTACTTCGCGGGCAAGAGCGGCTTCATGTGTGCCGAGGAGGTCGTCAGGGCCTCTGAGAACGGCACCCGCATGATCGACGAGAACGACCTGAAGGTCTACATCCGCAAGTTCGATGAGCAGTACGGCCCCACCTACATCGTGCTGGACGCGTTGCAGAAGGTCTTCTACACCTCCGACGCGGCCCGCGAGAGCTTCGTAGAGTTGTGCGAGGAGGAGTACGTGCAGAAGGTCACCTTCGACTCGTACCTGTACAAGACCGTGCAGGGCAACAACCCGATGGGCGACCTCAAGCTGGGCTGGAAGACGCTCACCAGCCTGTGGAACTACAACAAGAACCCCCCGCCCCCCATGAAGAAGCTCGAGGTGGCGTAGGCCGCCGCGCTCGAGTGATAGGCCTGCCGCTGCCGCTGCGCCCAAGCTCTCGCGAGTGGCGTCGGCGTCGGGCGGCGCCGTGCGCGGCACCGCGGCTCTGTCCGCGCGCGCAACCTGCGCGCTGCAATCTGCGCTCGCGCGCGCGCGGCACCGCGGCCATGGTCTGGCACTCCCCAGTTGTTTCGTTTCTGCTGTGCGGTTTGTGCCGCTAGCATTGGCCATTCCTCTGCTGCGCGTCACGCTAGCATTCGCCAGGCCCACGTGAGCGCCACCGGTGTTTCAGGGCGCGCGCTCTGCCAACAAGACACACCAGATTGCTTTTTTGAAAAGGTGCACGTGGGGCGCTGAATTGCCAGGCTTGCCGGCACGACTAGTGTGCTTATGACTCCTGACTACACGTGCAACACATGTTTTGATATGTTGGCCGGGGGCAGCGAGGGCACGTGCCCTTGCAACCGCTGGTTTTGAAGACACCCTGCAAAGCCCGAAGAAGACTATGTGTTTCAAGCTACCGTTTCCCCACGGTGCCATAGTTTGTTCTGCTTCTTTGCACCGTGTCTGCAGGATGGAACGCAATACGCCGCCCTGGATAGCGGTCGTTCCCCGCATGATCCGAGAGTCTCTGAGCTGCCAGTCCACGCTGCAAGCCCAATTTAGGGCACGCCAACCTCCTCCTCCTCCTCCTCCTCCTCCTCCCCCCCCTCCTCCTCCTCCTCTCCCCTCCTCCCCATCCTCCACCTCCTCCTCTCTCCTCTTCCTCCTCCTCCTTCTCCCAGTGGCTACCTCGCAGCTGCCAGCAATCATCTGTCGCGTGTCTGCTCTGTCGGTCCTGCTGTCTCACTTTGTAGGTTCCCGAGATCGAGAGTGGCCATCGACTGACACCAGATACGTCGTCTGCTCCTCCTCCTCCTCCTCCTCTCCTCCTCCTCCTCCCCTCCTCCTCATCCTCTCTGGGTGCGTTTTGACGAGGCCTTCGAAAAGAAATCCAGCCCTGGCGACGAGGAGCTCCTTGGCGGCCCAAAACCAGCGAAAGCCGCACAGAAATCTCCTCCTCATGCGTAGCCACTTTGGCTCAAGGAATTTTGGCGCAACGGGATATCGAATCCAGCCGCAGCCGCAGCCATGGCAGCCTTCGCGGTGGCCGGGGCCGCCCAGCCCTTCACCGCAGGCAGCGCTCCCGCGGCGCAGCCGGCGCAGGCCCTCCGCGCGGCCTCGCTGCGCGGGTCGCCCGCGCCGGCCGCCGAGGCGTCGCCGTGGCTGCTAGCCACCGCGGCGGCGGGCGCCGCGGCCGTGGGCGCCGCGGCGGCCGCGGCGCCTCGCCGCCGCGCGCGCGCCGCGCCGCTGGCCGGAGCATCGCGGGCGCGCGTGACGCCCGTGGCGTCGCAGGGGCAGCAGCGCACCTTGCGGGGCGCGCGCGTGGTGGTTTGCGCGGGCGCCAAGCTCCCCGAGGGCCGCAAGCTGCGCGTGGCCGTCATCGGCGGCGGCCCAGGCGGCGCTTCGTGCGCGGTGACCGTTGCGATCGAAATGGGTACGGGAAGAATGAGGACGAATACCGACAGCAGTTGCTGCTCATTTTGAACAGGACTCGCTGTCGGCGTCGCCGCGGACTTCTGTCCATTTGAAACGAAAAGTCGCATGCCCAACAGCGGCCGCTGCCAGTGTGGGACAACACTTGCTGGTGGACATCGTACCCAGTTTTTCTTGTATTTGTTTCGGGTGTGCCAAGGTGAAGCTCGCCGAGGGCGGCGTGGAGACGTACCTCATCGAGCGCAAGTTGGACAACTGCAAGCCGTGCGGGGGCGCGATCCCACTCTGCATGGTGGAGGAGTTCAACCTGCCGCCGCAGCTCGTCGACAGGCGCGTGCGCAAGATGACCATGATCTCGCCCTCCAACAGGGAGGTGCAGATTGGCCAGACGCTCAAGGACGACGAGTACATCGGCATGGTGCGCCGCGAGGTGCTGGACAAGCACCTGCGCGACACCGCGGCCGAGAAGGGCGCCACGGTCATCAACGGCCTCTTCATGGGCATGGACATGCCGCAGAGCGACGGCGACCCGTACGTGCTGAGCTACAACGACCTCGGCGACCAGACGGGGGGCCGCGCGCAAGGGCGTCAAGAAGACGCTGGAGGTCGACGTTGTGATCGGCGCAGACGGCGCTAACAGCCGGGTGGCCAAGGAGAATCGAGGCCGGGGACTACGAGTACGCCATCGCCTTCCAGGAGCGCATGACCATCGACGAGAAGAAGATGGAGTACTACAAGGAGAGGGCCGAGATGTACGTCGGCGAGGACGTGTCTCCAGACTTCTACGCGTGGGTCTTCCCCAAGTACGACCACGTCGCCGTGGGCACGGGCACCGTCATCGACAAGAAGGGCATCCAGAAGTACCAGCAGGGCATCCGGGACCGCGCCGCTCCCCGCATCGAGGGGGGCGAGATCATCCGCGTGGAGGCCCACCCCATCCCGGAGCACCCCCGCCCGTGGCGAACGAAGGGGCGCTGCACCCTGATCGGCGACGCGGCGGGCTACGTGACCAAGTGCTCCGGCGAGGGGATCTACTTCGCGGGCAAGAGCGGCTTCATGTGCGCCGAGGAGGTCGTCAGGGCCTCTGAGAACGGCACCCGCATGATCGACGAGAACGACCTGAAGGTCTACATCCGCAAGTTCGATGAGCAGTACGGCCCCACCTACATCGTGCTGGACGCGTTGCAGAAGGTCTTCTACACCTCCGACGCGGCCCGCGAGAGCTTCGTAGAGTTGTGCGAGGAGGAGTACGTGCAGAAGGTGACCTTCGACTCGTACCTGTACAAGACTGTGCAGGGCAACGACCCGATGGGCGACCTCAAGCTGGGTTGGAAGACGCTCACCAGCCTGTGGAACTACAACAAGAACCCCCCACCCCCCATGAAGAAGCTCGAGGTGGCGTAGGCCGCCGCGCTCGTGTGATAGGCCTGCCGCTGCCGCTGCGCCCAAACTCTCGCGAGTGGCGTAGGCGTCGGGCGGCGCCGTGCGCGGCACCGCTGCTCTGTCCGCGCGCGCAACCTGCGCGCTGCAATCTGCGCTCGCGCGCGCGCGGCACCGCGGCCATGGTCTGGCACTCCCCAGTTGTTTCATTTCTGCTGTGCGGTTTGTGCCGCTAGCATTGGCCATTCCTCTGCTGTGCGTCACGCTAGCATTCGCCTGGCCCACGTGAGCGCCACCGGTGTTTCAGGGCGCGCGCTCTGCCAACAAAACACGCCAGATTGCTTTTTTGAAAAGGTGCACGTGGGGCGCTGAATTGCCAGGCTTGCCGGCACGACTAGTGTGCTTATGACTCCTGACTACACGTGCAACACATGTTTTGATATGTTGGCCGGGGGCAGCGAGGGCACGTGCCCTTGCAACCGCTGGTTTTGAAGACACCCTGCAAAGCCCGAAGAAGACTATGTGTTTCAAGCTACCGTTTCCCCACGGTGCCATAGTTTGTTCTGCTTCTTTGCACCGTGTCTGCAGGATGGAACGCAATACGCCGTCCTGGATAGCGGTCGTTCCCCGCATGATCCGAGAGTCTCTGAGCTGCCAGTCCACGTTGCAAGCCCAATTTAGGGCACGCCAACATCCTCCTCCTCCTCCTCCTCCTCCTCTTCCTCCTCCTTGTCCTCCTCCTATGCCTCCTCCTTCTACTCCTCCTTCTCCTCCTCCTCCTCCTTCTCCCAGTGGCTACCTCGCAGCTGCCAGCAATCATCTGTCGCGTGTCTGCTCTGTCGGTCCTGGTGTCTCACTTCGTAGGCTCCCGAGAACGAGAGTGGCCATCGACTGACACCGGATACGTCGTCTCCTCCCTCCTCCTCCTGCTCCTCCTCCTCCTCCTCCTCCTCCTCATCCTCATCCCTGGGTGCGTTTCGACGAGGCCTTCGAAAAGAAATCCAGCCCTGGCGACGAGGAGCTCCTTGGCGGCCCAAAACCAGCGAAAGCCGTACAGAAATCTCCTCCTCATCATCCGTAGCCACTTTGGCTCAAGGAATTTTGGCGCAACGGGATATCGAATCCAGCCGCAGCCGCAGCCATGGCAGCCTTCGCGGTGGCCGGGGCCGCCCAGCCCCTCACCGCAGGCAGCGCTCCAGCGGCGCAGCCGGCGCAGGCCCTCCGCGCGGCCTCGCTGCGCGGGTCGCCCGCGCCGGCCGCCGAGGCGTCGCCGTGGCTGCTCGCCACCGCGGCGGCGGGCGCCGCGGCCGTGGGCGCCGCGGCGGCCGCGGCGCCTCGCCGCCGCGCGCGCGCCGCGCCGCTGGCCGGAGCATCGCGGGCGCGCGTGACGCCCGTGGCGTCGCAGGGGCAGCAGCGCACCTTGCGGGGCGCGCGCGTGGTGGTCTGCGCGGGCGCCAAGCTCCCCGAGGGCCGCAAGCTGCGCGTGGCCGTCATCGGCGGCGGCCCAGGCGGCGCTTCGTGCGCGGTGACCGTTGCGATCGAAATGGGTATGGAGAAAAAGGGGACGAACACCGACAGCAGTTGCACTGAACAGCTCGTGTCGGCGTCCGCCGCGGCTTTTGTGTCCATTTAGAACAAAAAGTTGCCTGCAACAAGCGGCCGCTGCCGGTTGGGACAACATTGCTGTTGGACATCGTAGCTAGTTTTTCTTGTATTTGTTTCGGTGTGCCAAGGTGAAGCTCGCCGAGGGCGGCGTGGAGACGTACCTCATCGAGCGCAAGTTGGACAACTGCAAGCCGTGCGGGGGCGCGATCCCGCTCTGCATGGTGGAGGAGTTCAACCTGCCGCCGCAGCTCGTCGACAGGTGCGTGCGCAAGATGACCATGATCTCGCCCTCCAACAGGGAGGTGCAGATTGGCCAGACGCTCAAGGACGACGAGTACATCGGCATGGTGCGCCGCGAGGTGCTGGACAAGCACCTGCGCGACACCGCGGCCGAGAAGGGCGCCACGGTCATCAACGCCTCTTCATGGGCATGGACATGCCGCAGAGCGAACGGCGACCCGTACGTGCTGAGCTACAACGACCTCGGCGACCAGACGGGGGCCGCGCGCAAGGGCGTCAAGAAGACGCTGGAGGTCGACGTTGTGATCGGCGCAGACGGCGCTAACAGCCGGGTGGCCAAGGAGATCGAGGCCGGGGACTACGAGTACGCCATCGCCTTCCAGGAGCGCATGACCATCGACGAGAAGAAGATGGAGTACTACAAGGAGAAGGGCCGAGATGTACGTCGGCGAAGGACGTGTCTCCAGACTTCTACGCGTGGGTCTTCCCCAATACGACCACGTCGCCGTGGGCACGGGCACCGTCATCGACAAGAAGGGCATCCAGAAGTACCAGCAGGGCATCCGGGACCGCGCCGCTCCCCGCATCGAGGGGGGCGAGATCATCCGCGTGGAGGCCCACCCCATCCCGGAGCACCCCCGCCCGTGGCGAACGAAGGGGCGCTGCACCCTGATCGGCGACGCGGCGGGCTACGTGACCAAGTGCTCCGGCGAGGGGATCTACTTCGCGGGCAAGAGCGGCTTCATGTGCGCCGAGGAGGTCGTCAGGGCCTCTGAGAACGGCACCCGCATGATCGACGAGAACGACCTGAAGGTCTACATCCGCAAGTTCGATGAGCAGTACGGCCCCACCTACATCGTGCTGGACGCGTTGCAGAAGGTCTTCTACACCTCCGACGCGGCCCGCGAGAGCTTCGTAGAGTTGTGCGAGGAGGAGTACGTGCAGAAGGTCACCTTCGACTCGTACCTGTACAAGACCGTGCAGGGCAACAACCCGATGGGCGACCTCAAGCTGGGCTGGAAGACGCTCACCAGCCTGTGGAACTACAACAAGAACCCCCCGCCCCCCATGAAGAAGCTCGAGGTGGCGTAGGCCGCCGCGCTCGTGTGATAGGCCTGCCGCTGCCGCTGCGCCCAGGCTCTCCCGGGTGGCGTAGACGTCGGGCGGCGCCGCGCGGCGGCGCCGCGCGCGGCACCGCGGCTCTGTGCGCGCGTGCGACCTGCGCGCTGCGATCTGCGCGCGCGCGCGGCACCGCGGCCGTGGTCTGGCACTCCCCAGTTGTTTCAATTATGCTGTGCGGTTTGTGCCGCTAGCATTGGCCATTCCTCTGTTGTGCGGCACGTCACGCTAACATTCGCTAGGCCCACGTGAGCGCCACCGGTGTTTCAGGGCGCGCGCTCTGCCAACAAAACACGCCAGATTGTTTTTTTGAAAAGGTGCACGTGGGGCGCTGAATTGCCAGGCTTGCCGGCACGACTAGTGTGATTACAAGTCCTGACTACACGTGCAACACGCCGGGGGCAGCGAGGGCACGTGCCCTTGCAACCGCTGGTTTTGAAGACACCCGGCAGAGCCCGCAGAAGACTATGCGTTTCAAGCTACCGTTTCCCCACGGTGCCATAGTTTGTTCTGCTTCTTTGCACCGTGTCTGCAGGATGGAACGCAATACGCCGTCCTGGATAGCGATCGTTCCCCAGGTGAGCCGTGAGCCGAGAGTTGCCGAGCTGCCAGTCCACGCTGCAAGCCCAATTTAGGGCACGCCAACCTCTTCCTCCTTCTTGTTCTCCTCCTCCTCCTCCTCCTCTGACTCCTCCTTCTACTCCTCCTCCTCCTCCCCCTCCTCCCCATCCTCCTCCACCTCCTCCTCCTCCTCCTCTTCCTCCTCCTCCTCCTCCTCCTCCCAGTGGCTACCTCGCAGCTGCCAGCAATCATCTGTCGCGTGTCTGCTCCCTCGGTCTTGCTGTCTCACTTTGTAGGTTCCCGAGATCGAGAGTGGCCATCGACTGAGACCGGATACGTCGTCTCCTCCCTCCTCCTCCTCCTCCTCCTCCTCCTGTTACTCCCCCTCCTCCTCATCTTCTCTGGGTGCGTTTTGACGAGGCCTTCGAAAAGAAATCCAATCCAGCCCTAGCGACGAGGAGCTTCTTGGCGGCCCCAAACCAGCGAAAGCCGCACAGAAATCTCCTCCTCATCCGTAGCCACTTTGGCTCAAGGAATTTTGGCGCAACGGGATATCGAATCCAGCCGCAGCCGCAGCCATGGCAGCCTTCGCGGTGGCCGGGGCCGCCCAGCCCTTCACCGCAGGCAGCGCTCCCGCGGCGCAGCCGGCGCAGGCCCTCCGCGCGGCCTCGCTGCGCGGGTCGCCCGCGCCGGCCGCCGAGGCGTCGCCGTGGCTGCTCGCCACCGCGGCGGCGGGCGCCGCGGCCGTGGGCGCCGCGGCGGCCGCGGCGCCTCGCCGCCGCGCGCGCGCCGCGCCGCTGGCCGGAGCATCGCGGGCGCGCGTGACGCCCGTGGCGTCGCAGGGGCAGCAGCGCACCTTGCGGGGCGCGCGCGTGGTGGTTTGCGCGGGCGCCAAGCTCCCCGAGGGCCGCAAGCTGCGCGTGGCCGTCATCGGCGGCGGCCCAGGCGGCGCTTCGTGCGCGGTGACCGTTGCGATCGAAATGGGTACGGGAAGAAAGAGGACGAATACCGACAGCACTTGCTGCTCATTTTGAACAGGACTCGCTGTCGGCGTCGCCGCGAACTTTGTCCATTTGAGACGAAAAGTCGCCTGCCCAACAGCGGCCGCTGCCGGTTGGGGATAGCATTGGCCGTTAGACATCGGAGCTAGTCTTTCCCGTAGCTATCTCGCGTGTGTCAAGGTGAAGCTCGCCGAGGGTGGCGTGGAGACGTACCTCATCGAGCGCAAGTTGGACAACTGCAAGCCGTGCGGGGGCGCGATCCCGCTCTGCATGGTGGAGGAGTTCAACCTGCCGCCGCAGCTCGTCGACAGGCGCGTGCGCAAGATGACCATGATCTCGCCCTCCAACAGGGAGGTGCAGATTGGCCAGACGCTCAAGGACGACGAGTACATCGGCATGGTGCGCCGCGAGGTGCTGGACAAGCACCTGCGCGACACCGCGGCCGAGAAGGGCGCCACGGTCATCAACGGCCTCTTCATGGGCATGGACATGCCGCAGAGCGACGGCGACCCGTACGTGCTGAGCTACAACGACCTCGGCGACCAGACGGGGGCCGCGCGCAAGGGCGTCAAGAAGACGCTGGAGGTCGACGTTGTGATCGGCGCAGACGGCGCTAACAGCCGGGTGGCCAAGGAGATCGAGGCCGGGGACTACGAGTACGCCATCGCCTTCCAGGAGCGCATGACCATCGACGAGAAGAAGATGGAGTACTACAAGGAGAGGGCCGAGATGTACGTCGGCGAGGACGTGTCTCCAGACTTCTACGCGTGGGTCTTCCCCAAGTACGACCACGTCGCCGTGGGCACGGGCACCGTCATCGACAAGAAGGGCATCCAGAAGTACCAGCAGGGCATCCGGGACCGCGCCGCTCCCCGCATCGAGGGGGGCGAGATCATCCGCGTGGAGGCCCACCCCATCCCGGAGCACCCCCGCCCGTGGCGAACGAAGGGGCGCTGCACCCTGATCGGCGACGCGGCGGGCTACGTGACCAAGTGCTCCGGCGAGGGGATCTACTTCGCGGGCAAGAGCGGCTTCATGTGCGCCGAGGAGGTCGTCAGGGCCTCTGAGAACGGCACCCGCATGATCGACGAGAACGACCTGAAGGTCTACATCCGCAAGTTCGATGAGCAGTACGGCCCCACCTACATCGTGCTGGACGCGTTGCAGAAGGTCTTCTACACCTCCGACGCGGCCCGCGAGAGCTTCGTAGAGTTGTGCGAGGAGGAGTACGTGCAGAAGGTCACCTTCGACTCGTACCTGTACAAGACCGTGCAGGGCAACAACCCGATGGGCGACCTCAAGCTGGGCTGGAAGACGCTCACCAGCCTGTGGAACTACAACAAGAACCCCCCACCCCCCATGAAGAAGCTCGAGGTGGCGTAGGCCGCCGCGCTCGTGTGATAGGCCTGCCGCTGCCGCTGCGCCCAAACTCTCGCGAGTGGCGTAGGCGTCGGGCGGCGCCGTGCGCGGCACCGCTGCTCTGTCCGCGCGCGCAACCTGCGCGCTGCAATCTGCGCTCGCGCGCGCGCGGCACCGCGGCCATGGTCTGGCACTCCCCAGTTGTTTCATTTCTGCTGTGCGGTTTGTGCCGCTAGCATTGGCCATTCCTCTGCTGTGCGTCACGCTAGCATTCGCCTGGCCCACGTGAGCGCCACCGGTGTTTCAGGGCGCGCGCTCTGCCAACAAAACACGCCAGATTGCTTTTTTGAAAAGGTGCACGTGGGGCGCTGAATTGCCAGGCTTGCCGGCACGACTAGTGTGCTTATGACTCCTGACTACACGTGCAACACATGTTTTGATATGTTGGCCGGGGGCAGCGAGGGCACGTGCCCTTGCAACCGCTGGTTTTGAAGACACCCTGCAAAGCCCGAAGAAGACTATGTGTTTCAAGCTACCGTTTCCCCACGGTGCCATAGTTTGTTCTGCTTCTTTGCACCGTGTCTGCAGGATGGAACGCAATACGCCGTCCTGGATAGCGGTCGTTCCCCGCATGATCCGAGAGTCTCTGAGCTGCCAGTCCACGTTGCAAGCCCAATTTAGGGCACGCCAACATCCTCCTCCTCCTCCTCCTCCTCCTCTTCCTCCTCCTTGTCCTCCTCCTATGCCTCCTCCTTCTACTCCTCCTTCTCCTCCTCCTCCTCCTTCTCCCAGTGGCTACCTCGCAGCTGCCAGCAATCATCTGTCGCGTGTCTGCTCTGTCGGTCCTGGTGTCTCACTTCGTAGGCTCCCGAGAACGAGAGTGGCCATCGACTGACACCGGATACGTCGTCTCCTCCCTCCTCCTCCTGCTCCTCCTCCTCCTCCTCCTCCTCCTCATCCTCATCCCTGGGTGCGTTTCGACGAGGCCTTCGAAAAGAAATCCAGCCCTGGCGACGAGGAGCTCCTTGGCGGCCCAAAACCAGCGAAAGCCGTACAGAAATCTCCTCCTCATCATCCGTAGCCACTTTGGCTCAAGGAATTTTGGCGCAACGGGATATCGAATCCAGCCGCAGCCGCAGCCATGGCAGCCTTCGCGGTGGCCGGGGCCGCCCAGCCCCTCACCGCAGGCAGCGCTCCAGCGGCGCAGCCGGCGCAGGCCCTCCGCGCGGCCTCGCTGCGCGGGTCGCCCGCGCCGGCCGCCGAGGCGTCGCCGTGGCTGCTCGCCACCGCGGCGGCGGGCGCCGCGGCCGTGGGCGCCGCGGCGGCCGCGGCGCCTCGCCGCCGCGCGCGCGCCGCGCCGCTGGCCGGAGCATCGCGGGCGCGCGTGACGCCCGTGGCGTCGCAGGGGCAGCAGCGCACCTTGCGGGGCGCGCGCGTGGTGGTCTGCGCGGGCGCCAAGCTCCCCGAGGGCCGCAAGCTGCGCGTGGCCGTCATCGGCGGCGGCCCAGGCGGCGCTTCGTGCGCGGTGACCGTTGCGATCGAAATGGGTATGGAGAAAAAGGGGACGAACACCGACAGCAGTTGCTGCTCATTTTGAACAGGGCTCGGTGTCGGCGTCGCCGCGGACTTTGTGTCCATTTAGAACAAAAAGTTGCCTGCCCAACAGCGGCCGCTGCCAGTGTGGGACAACACTTGCTGTTGGACATCGTACCTAGTTTTTCTTGTATTTGTTTCGGGTGTGCCAAGGTGAAGCTCGCCGAGGGCGGCGTGGAGACGTACCTCATCGAGCGCAAGTTGGACAACTGCAAGCCGTGCGGGGGCGCGATCCCGCTCTGCATGGTGGAGGAGTTCAACCTGCCGCCGCAGCTCGTCGACAGGTGCGTGCGCAAGATGACCATGATCTCGCCCTCCAACAGGGAGGTGCAGATTGGCCAGACGCTCAAGGACGACGAGTACATCGGCATGGTGCGCCGCGAGGTGCTGGACAAGCACCTGCGCGACACCGCGGCCGAGAAGGGCGCCACGGTCATCAACGGCCTCTTCATGGGCATGGACATGCCGCAGAGCGACGGCGACCCGTACGTGCTGAGCTACAACGACCTCGGCGACCAGACGGGGGCCGCGCGCAAGGGCGTCAAGAAGACGCTGGAGTCGACGTTGTGATCGGCGCAGACGCGCTAACAGCCGGTGGCCAAGGAGATCGAGGCCGACAACGAGTACGCCATCGCCTTCCAGGAGCGCATGACCATCGACGAGAAGAAGATGGAGTACTACAAGGAGAGGGCCGAAATGTACGTCGGCGAGGACGTGTCTCCGACTTCTACGCGTGGGTCTTCCCAAGTACGACCACGTCGCCGTGGGCACGGGCACCGTCATCGACAAGAAGGGCATCCAGAAGTACCAGCAGGGCATCCGGGACCGCGCCGCTCCCCGCATCGAGGGGGGCGAGATCATCCGCGTGGAGGCCCACCCCATCCCGGAGCACCCCCGCCCGTGGCGAACGAAGGGGCGCTGCACCCTGATGGCGACGCGGCGGGCTACGTGACCAAATGCTCCGGCGAGGGGATCTACTTCGCGGGCAAGAGCGGCTTCATGTGCGCCGAGGAGGTCGTCAGGGCCTCTGAGAACGGCACCCGCATGATCGACGAGAACGACCTGAAGGTCTACATCCGCAAGTTCGATGAGCAGTACGGCCCCACCTACATCGTGCTGGACGCGTTGCAGAAGGTCTTCTACACCTCCGACGCGGCCCGCGAGAGCTTCGTAGAGTTGTGCGAGGAGGAGTACGTGCAGAAGGTCACCTTCGACTCGTACCTGTACAAGACCGTGCAGGGCAACAACCCGATGGGCGACCTCAAGCTGGGCTGGAAGACGCTCACCAGCCTGTGGAACTACAACAAGAACCCCCCGCCCCCCATGAAGAAGCTCGAGGTGGCGTAGGCCGCCGCGCTCGAGTGATAGGCCTGCCGCTGCCGCTGCGCCCAAGCTCTCGCGAGTGGCGTCGGCGTCGGGCGGCGCCGTGCGCGGCACCGCGGCTCTGTCCGCGCGCGCAACCTGCGCGCTGCAATCTGCGCTCGCGCGCGCGCGGCACCGCGGCCATGGTCTGGCACTCCCCAGTTGTTTCGTTTCTGCTGTGCGGTTTGTGCCGCTAGCATTGGCCATTCCTCTGCTGTGCGTCACGCTAGCATTCGCCAGGCCCACGTGAGCGCCACCGGTGTTTCAGGGCGCGCGCTCTGCCAACAAAACACGCCAGATTGCTTTTTTGAAAAGGTGCACGTGGGGCGCTGAATTGCCAGGCTTGCCGGCACGACTAGTGTGCTTATGACTCCTGACTACACGTGCAACACATGTTTTGATATGTTGGCCGGGGGCAGCGAGGGCACGTGCCCTTGCAACCGCTGGTTTTGAAGACACCCTGCAAAGCCCGAAGAAGACTATGTGTTTCAAGCTACCGTTTCCCCACGGTGCCATAGTTTGTTCTGCTTCTTTGCACCGTGTCTGCAGGATGGAACGCAATACGCCGTCCTGGATAGCGGTCGTTCCCCGCATGATCCGAGAGTCTCTGAGCTGCCAGTCCACGTTGCAAGCCCAATTTAGGGCACGCCAACATCCTCCTCCTCCTCCTCCTCCTCCTCTTCCTCCTCCTTGTCCTCCTCCTATGCCTCCTCCTTCTACTCCTCCTTCTCCTCCTCCTCCTCCTTCTCCCAGTGGCTACCTCGCAGCTGCCAGCAATCATCTGTCGCGTGTCTGCTCTGTCGGTCCTGGTGTCTCACTTCGTAGGCTCCCGAGAACGAGAGTGGCCATCGACTGACACCGGATACGTCGTCTCCTCCCTCCTCCTCCTGCTCCTCCTCCTCCTCCTCCTCCTCCTCATCCTCATCCCTGGGTGCGTTTCGACGAGGCCTTCGAAAAGAAATCCAGCCCTGGCGACGAGGAGCTCCTTGGCGGCCCAAAACCAGCGAAAGCCGTACAGAAATCTCCTCCTCATCATCCGTAGCCACTTTGGCTCAAGGAATTTTGGCGCAACGGGATATCGAATCCAGCCGCAGCCGCAGCCATGGCAGCCTTCGCGGTGGCCGGGGCCGCCCAGCCCCTCACCGCAGGCAGCGCTCCAGCGGCGCAGCCGGCGCAGGCCCTCCGCGCGGCCTCGCTGCGCGGGTCGCCCGCGCCGGCCGCCGAGGCGTCGCCGTGGCTGCTCGCCACCGCGGCGGCGGGCGCCGCGGCCGTGGGCGCCGCGGCGGCCGCGGCGCCTCGCCGCCGCGCGCGCGCCGCGCCGCTGGCCGGAGCATCGCGGGCGCGCGTGACGCCCGTGGCGTCGCAGGGGCAGCAGCGCACCTTGCGGGGCGCGCGCGTGGTGGTCTGCGCGGGCGCCAAGCTCCCCGAGGGCCGCAAGCTGCGCGTGGCCGTCATCGGCGGCGGCCCAGGCGGCGCTTCGTGCGCGGTGACCGTTGCGATCGAAATGGGTATGGAGAAAAAGGGGACGAACACCGACAGCAGTTGCTGCTCATTTTGAACAGGGCTCGGTGTCGGCGTCGCCGCGGACTTTGTGTCCATTTAGAACAAAAAGTTGCCTGCCCAACAGCGGCCGCTGCCAGTGTGGGACAACACTTGCTGTTGGACATCGTACCTAGTTTTTCTTGTATTTGTTTCGGGTGTGCCAAGGTGAAGCTCGCCGAGGGCGGCGTGGAGACGTACCTCATCGAGCGCAAGTTGGACAACTGCAAGCCGTGCGGGGGCGCGATCCCGCTCTGCATGGTGGAGGAGTTCAACCTGCCGCCGCAGCTCGTCGACAGGTGCGTGCGCAAGATGACCATGATCTCGCCCTCCAACAGGGAGGTGCAGATTGGCCAGACGCTCAAGGACGACGAGTACATCGGCATGGTGCGCCGCGAGGTGCTGGACAAGCACCTGCGCGACACCGCGGCCGAGAAGGGCGCCACGGTCATCAACGGCCTCTTCATGGGCATGGACATGCCGCAGAGCGACGGCGACCCGTACGTGCTGAGCTACAACGACCTCGGCGACCAGACGGGGGCCGCGCGCAAGGGCGTCAAGAAGACGCTGGAGGTCGACGTTGTGATCGGCGCAGACGGCGCTAACAGCCGGGTGGCCAAGGAGATCGAGGCCGGGGACTACGAGTACGCCATCGCCTTCCAGGAGCGCATGACCATCGACGAGAAGAAGATGGAGTACTACAAGGAGAGGGCCGAGATGTACGTCGGCGAGGACGTGTCTCCAGACTTCTACGCGTGGGTCTTCCCCAAGTACGACCACGTCGCCGTGGGCACGGGCACCGTCATCGACAAGAAGGGCATCCAGAAGTACCAGCAGGGCATCCGGGACCGCGCCGCTCCCCGCATCGAGGGGGGCGAGATCATCCGCGTGGAGGCCCACCCCATCCCGGAGCACCCCCGCCCGTGGCGAACGAAGGGGCGCTGCACCCTGATCGGCGACGCGGCGGGCTACGTGACCAAATGCTCCGGCGAGGGGATCTACTTCGCGGGCAAGAGCGGCTTCATGTGCGCCGAGGAGGTCGTCAGGGCCTCTGAGAACGGCACCCGCATGATCGACGAGAACGACCTGAAGGTCTACATCCGCAAGTTCGATGAGCAGTACGGCCCCACCTACATCGTGCTGGACGCGTTGCAGAAGGTCTTCTACACCTCCGACGCGGCCCGCGAGAGCTTCGTAGAGTTGTGCGAGGAGGAGTACGTGCAGAAGGTGACCTTCGACTCGTACCTGTACAAGACTGTGCAGGGCAACGACCCGATGGGCGACCTCAAGCTGGGTTGGAAGACGCTCACCAGCCTGTGGAACTACAACAAGAACCCCCCACCCCCCATGAAGAAGCTCGAGGTGGCGTAGGCCGCCGCGCTCGTGTGATAGGCCTGCCGCTGCCGCTGCGCCCAAACTCTCGCGAGTGGCGTAGGCGTCGGGCGGCGCCGTGCGCGGCACCGCTGCTCTGTCCGCGCGCGCAACCTGCGCGCTGCGATCTGTGCTCGCGCGCGCGCGGCACCGCGGCCATGGTCTGGCACTCCCCAGTTGTTTCATTTCTGCTGTGCGGTTTGTGCCGCTAGCATTGGCCATTCCTCTGTTGTGCGTCACGCTAGCATTCGCCAGGCCCACGTGAGCGCCACCGGTGTTTCAGGGCGCGCGCTCTGCCAACAAAACACGCCAGATTGCTTTTTTGAAAAGGTGCACGTGGGGCGCTGAATTGCCAGGCTTGCCGGCACGACTAGTGTGCTTATGACTCCTGACTACACGTGCAACACATGTTTTGATATGTTGGCCGGGGGCAGCGAGGGCACGTGCCCTTGCAACCGCTGGTTTTGAAGACACCCTGCAAAGCCCGAAGAAGACTATGTGTTCCAAGCTACCGTTTCCCCACGGTGCCATAGTTTGTTCTGCTTCTTTGCACCGTGTCTGCAGGATGGAACGCAATACGCCGTCCTGGATAGCGGTCGTTCCCCGCATGATCCGAGAGTCTCTGAGCTGCCAGTCCACGCTGCAAGCCCAATTTAGGGCACGCCAACCTCCTCCTCCTCCTCCTCTTCCTCCTCCTTGTCCTCCTCCTATGCCTCCTCCTTCTACTCCTCCTTCTCCTCCTCCTCCTCCTCCTTCTCCCAGTGGCTACCTCGCAGCTGCCAGCAATCATCTGTCGCGTGTCTGCTCTGTCGGTCCTGGTGTCTCACTTCGTAGGCTCCCGAGAACGAGAGTGGCCATCGACTGACACCGGATACGTCGTCTCCTCCCTCCTCCTCCTGCTCCTCCTCCTCCTCCTCCTCCTCCTCCTCATCCTCATCCCTGGGTGCGTTTCGACGAGGCCTTCGAAAAGAAATCCAGCCCTGGCGACGAGGAGCTCCTTGGCGGCCCAAAACCAGCGAAAGCCGTACAGAAATCTCCTCCTCCTCATCCGTAGCCACTTTGGCTCAAGGAATTTTGGCGCAACGGGATATCGAATCCAGCCGCAGCCGCAGCCATGGCAGCCTTCGCGGTGGCCGGGGCCGCCCAGCCCCTCACCGCAGGCAGCGCTCCAGCGGCGCAGCCGGCGCAGGCCCTCCGCGCGGCCTCGCTGCGCGGGTCGCCCGCGCCGGCCGCCGAGGCGTCGCCGTGGCTGCTCGCCACCGCGGCGGCGGGCGCCGCGGCCGTGGGCGCCGCGGCGGCCGCGGCGCCTCGCCGCCGCGCGCGCGCCGCGCCGCTGGCCGGAGCATCGCGGGCGCGCGTGACGCCCGTGGCGTCGCAGGGGCAGCAGCGCACCTTGCGGGGCGCGCGCGTGGTGGTCTGCGCGGGCGCCAAGCTCCCCGAGGGCCGCAAGCTGCGCGTGGCCGTCATCGGCGGCGGCCCAGGCGGCGCTTCGTGCGCGGTGACCGTTGCGATCGAAATGGGTATGGAGAAAAAGGGGACGAATACCGACAGCAGTTGCTGCTCATTTTGAACAGGGCTCGGTGTCGGCGTCGCCGCGGACTTTGTGTCCATTTAGAACAAAAAGTTGCCTGCCCAACAGCGGCCGCTGCCAGTGTGGGACAACACTTGCTGTTGGACATCGTACCTAGTTTTTCTTGTATTTGTTTCGGGTGTGCCAAGGTGAAGCTCGCCGAGGGCGGCGTGGAGACGTACCTCATCGAGCGCAAGTTGGACAACTGCAAGCCGTGCGGGGGCGCGATCCCGCTCTGCATGGTGGAGGAGTTCAACCTGCCGCCGCAGCTCGTCGACAGGCGCGTGCGCAAGATGACCATGATCTCGCCCTCCAACAGGGAGGTGCAGATTGGCCAGACGCTCAAGGACGACGAGTACATCGGCATGGTGCGCCGCGAGGTGCTGGACAAGCACCTGCGCGACACCGCGGCCGAGAAGGGCGCCACGGTCATCAACGGCCTCTTCATGGGCATGGACATGCCGCAGAGCGACGGCGACCCGTACGTGCTGAGCTACAACGACCTCGGCGACCAGACGGGGGCCGCGCGCAAGGGCGTCAAGAAGACGCTGGAGGTCGACGTTGTGATCGGCGCAGACGGCGCTAACAGCCGGGTGGCCAAGGAGATCGAGGCCGGGGACTACGAGTACGCCATCGCCTTCCAGGAGCGCATGACCATCGACGAGAAGAAGATGGAGTACTACAAGGAGAGGGCCGAGATGTACGTCGGCGAGGACGTGTCTCCAGACTTCTACGCGTGGGTCTTCCCCAAGTACGACCACGTCGCCGTGGGCACGGGCACCGTCATCGACAAGAAGGGCATCCAGAAGTACCAGCAGGGCATCCGGGACCGCGCCGCTCCCCGCATCGAGGGGGGCGAGATCATCCGCGTGGAGGCCCACCCCATCCCGGAGCACCCCCGCCCGTGGCGAACGAAGGGGCGCTGCACCCTGATCGGCGACGCGGCGGGCTACGTGACCAAATGCTCCGGCGAGGGGATCTACTTCGCGGGCAAGAGCGGCTTCATGTGCGCCGAGGAGGTCGTCAGGGCCTCTGAGAACGGCACCCGCATGATCGACGAGAACGACCTGAAGGTCTACATCCGCAAGTTCGATGAGCAGTACGGCCCCACCTACATCGTGCTGGACGCGTTGCAGAAGGTCTTCTACACCTCCGACGCGGCCCGCGAGAGCTTCGTAGAGTTGTGCGAGGAGGAGTACGTGCAGAAGGTGACCTTCGACTCGTACCTGTACAAGACTGTGCAGGGCAACGACCCGATGGGCGACCTCAAGCTGGGCTGGAAGACGCTCACCAGCCTGTGGAACTACAACAAGAACCCCCCACCCCCCATGAAGAAGCTCGAGGTGGCGTAGGCCGCCGCGCTCCTGTGATAGGCCTGCCGCTGCCGCTGCGCCCAAACTCTCGCGAGGGGCGTAGGCGTCGGGCGGCGCCGTGCGCGGCACCGCGGCTCTGTGCGCGCGCGCGACCTGCGCGCTGCAATCTGCGCTCGCGCGCGGCACCGCGGCCATGGTCTGGCACTCCCCAGTTGTTTCAATTCTGCTGTGCGGCTTGTGCCGCTAATATTGGCCATTCCTCTGCTGTGCGGCATGTCACGCTAGCATTCGCCCGGCCCACGTGAGCGCCACAATTTTGTCAGGGCGCGCGCTCTGCCAACAAGAACACGCCATATGGATTTTTTGAAACAGGTGCACTTGGGGCGCTGAATTGCCGTGCTTGCAGGACGACTCCTGTGTTTGCGACTCCTGCCTGCACGTGCAACACACTGCGATCACGTCCGTGTGCCATCGCCACCAGTTAGCTGGGGGCAGCGAGGGCACGTGCCCTTGCGACCGCCAGTCTTGAAGACATCCCGCAGAGCCCGCAGAAGACTGTGTGTTTCAAGCTACCGTTCCCCCACGGTGCCATAGTTCGTTTGCCTCTGCACCGTGTCAGCAGGATGGAACGCAATGTGCCGTCCTGGACAGCGG